CAGGCACCCGCCACAATGCCTGGCTATTTTTTATTGCAGCTTGGCCGGGACCGGGTTTGAACCCACAAACCTCGGTATATGGGGCCGGCGCCCTACTCGTGAGCCACAGGCACCGCCCGGCAGTTTACTTATTTAAAGCAAAAAGGAAAAGAGACTACTTTTGTCTGTTCAGTGCCGAATCCTCAGCGCCGGTTGTATGATCAATCACTCATTAGATCCTGCCTCACTAGATTTTTTTTTTTTAAAGTTGCTTCTCTAAGCCAAACTGGATCCTGCCTGAGGGCCTGTACGCTATCATCTGCCTGGGCTGTTCATCCCCAATCTTTGCACCGCTAGTTCTTTCTCGCCATTTGGACCGAGGTCGGTTTAAATGACACCTCCTTGGTAAGGTCTCTCCTGCATTCCATCACTACCCATTCCTTTTGAAGGTCAGCACAGCACTTATCACATACTTTCCTTTTCATTGCCTTTGTCTCTCTGCTACCTGGAACACGCGCTCCCCCGCCAGAGCTGCGGCTGCGTTCTCCGAGCCCAGCGGGCTGGCCAGCCCGCAGCCGGCGATCTGGGCGAACAAACCCAATGCACCTGGTCAGGGCCCGCGGGGCTGCGGTCCCCCGTGCAGGTCCCTCCATGCCCCAGCATCTCCCCCTCTCTGCGCCGCGCCCTGCCTCCCTCGCCTACCTGTCGGCCAACTCCAGCACCTCGTGCACGCTGCCCGTGCTGACGCGGATGCGCCCAGTGTACATGTATTCGATAACGGCTTCCACCGTGTCGGGTTCGGGCCCCGGCTCCGAGCTCCACTTGCGCATCTCCACCCGGCCCGAGCGGGACTCAGAAAACTGGCCTGAGAGTAGGGGCGTGAAGTACTCGGTGGCGGCGGCCAGCACCGAGCGGTGGGCCCGGAACTCGCGGCCTCCGGCACCGCCGAAGCACAGGGTAATGTCGCAGAAGAGGCCCTGGCGCCGCTGTTCGTTCTGCCGCCAGGACAGTTCCGAGCAGTGAGAGCTGCACTCGAAATCCTCGGCCTCTGGGCCCGGATCGCCCCCGCTCGCCTCCATTGCAGAGATCCCGGGCCCGGGCCCGAAGTCCACCGTGCCGCTGCCTCGGACCTCAGCAGCCAGCCCCGCCGAGCCAGCGGCGGCCG